CCACCCGCCGCAGGAGCTTTCGAGGAAACAAATTTGGAGGTGCAAATCGCCACCCCCGTCAGCTCCATCCGCCACCATCGCCACCGCCGACGCCATCGCCGGCAACCCCGCACAAATGGATCTCCAGATTTTTTAGATCTGAAAAAACGAGATCCAACTTTGGTAGAAGAAGAAAACGAAAAAAAGAAGAAAAAAAATATGGGAGGAGAGAGAGAGAGGGAGATGAATGCTAGATCTAGCGAGAAAAGAAAGGAAAGAAGAAGAAGAAGAAGAAGGAAGAGGAGGAAGAAGATGACGAGGAGAAGAAAAGGAAGGGGGAAAGGAAGAGAAAGAGAAAGAGTGGAAGAAGGAGGAAGGAAGAGGTGGAGGAGGAAATAGAAAGGACGGGAAAGGAAGAGGAAAGGGGGAGAGAAGAGAGAGAGAGAGAGAATACCTGCGTGGGAGTGGGATGGCAGACCGAGAGAGAAAAAAAGATGAGAAAGGATGAGGAGGGAGGGGTAATTTAGGAAGATTGGGTATGAAAACGTAGACTGGGAACTTTATTTCCGGACGGATAAAAGCGTAGACTGGGAACTTAAAATTCGGACGGAGGGAGTATGATTACAATAGAGGCCACCCACTCCTCAAATACAACTGGAGTTTTTGCCATAGTGGATGAGGGACATAGCCACTGGCCGGAACTGCAGAATGTCGTCGTTGCCCAACAACTACAAAAGTTGAAGCTGTTTAGTGGTGATAGAGCCACCGGAAGAGAGAACATATGAAGATGCGAAGATTCTATTGTCCATGTTCATCATCGTTGTCAAGGTCGGTAGAAGAGCGGTCATGGCTCTGTTATTTTTCATGTTGCCAAAGCCAACATCATCTTACACCATAGATGAGGAAGATATGTGAATTGAGGGGGATTCATTAAATAAGTTAGGTCTGTTGATATTTTGATACGGACTACGTATCGGATAGGGAAGACTCATCAGAACGTCTTCAGGCTCTTGAGAATATGGGACGAGAAAAAAGAAGAAAAATTGACCCGAAGAGAATCGGCAAACCGAGAGAGGAGAAGGGATAAGGGTTTTGATTTGTTTATTGATTGAATTTTCTAAATGAAGTTACATCTTTATTTATAGGAGACAAAGAAATCCTAGCTAACCATAAACCTAACCTGACGATTCAATAAAAGCGACGGGGGAAAGAACCGTAAAGAAACCTCAAAAGAGCTTATAATTCGGCTCACCTAATAAAACCTAAATTACAACAACAACAACAACAACAACAACAACAACAACAACAACAACAATACTCTTAAATATCCTACTCTACTATCCATTACACTCTCACGCCCTTAAAAAACCACCTTGTCCTCAAGGTGGAGGCTCCCACTCATGCTTTTGGACTCGAGAGAAAATGTTGACCCAAAGATTATGGCCACTTGATGACAGATCTTTATTAATCTTGCAGATTGGAGTATAGTTATGGACATAAGAGAGAATAGCAAATACAAACTTAGGTACCTGCGGTGAAACCCAAGACTCTGACTTCACGATATTCGCATGGCCAGAGGTGTGGATGATATCAAAGGACAGTGAGATTTCTGATTGCGTATAATTTACATCGACTACTTGGGCGGTTTTGGATGGAGGCACAAGGCTACATGCGATGATGACATTGCTCCATGTTTGATCCTTTGCAACTTCTCCCTTACCTGGTGCATCTACGGGTGTATCAACAGCTACAAGATCTGATGGAAAGGCATTAAGCCATTAACAATACCTTCAACAGAAACACCATCATCATCAACTTTAAGAACTCTCACTGAACCACCACCGTCGTGCGTAGATTCCAGCGGCCATAGCCGCTGCTTGTTTCTCGTGCAATTTCCCCCTCCCTTCAGTATGACTTTCTTTTATTTATAGTAAGAAAAGCTCTTTACCGTTGGAGGGTTGAATGAGGAGCAGATTTTGTGGAGAGATGTCAGAGCGTTGTGTAGATCCATTCTTATGAGGATGAAGAATACGAACTCTATTCTCTATTTTTTCTTCCTTCGTGCGTAAAACTAACTTGGAATGAAGTTGTGGGCTGATTCTTGTTTGCTACACTTTTCTCCACGAAATAAGATATCTGATAACTTGGATTAGGAAAAACAAAATAAAAGTAATATAATGTAAAAAGGCGAATAAAAACTACTATTTATTCAAGAAAATTAAAAGATAGTAAAAATTAGGATTAAAATAAAACTATGTTATAAAACTAAGAATTAAATACTAAAAATATTAAAAATGCCTAAACAAATAAAAAGAACTAATGCAAAAATGACTTATCGCAAGAAATAAAAAATTTGCCTCCATGTGATGAGACATGTTAGAGTATAAAATCTATCTTAGACCTATGATAAGTTTTAGACTCTAACACATAGAAAGTTTCTGAGATACGATAATTGTATGATTTGTATCTATTTCGAAAAACTCTGATACAAGCAAGATTAATTATTTCCTTTGATATCATAGGAGCATTGGATATATTTTCTTATTAACCTTTGGTCACCTTCTAAAAATGATGAATATAGAATGTTTGATCTTGAAAATAAGTTCAAGAGCTTGTTCTTTAGGAATGTGAAAGAAGAGATGGATGTTGGAAGAAACTCAAAGGAACTAGAAGAACTTGAAACATGAAGAAACTGGAAGGAACTGGAAAAACTTCAAAAATCGAAAAATCTAAAAAACATTAAAAAAAATTATTTAAGTGCATTTTTATATTATTAGCATTCTAATTCTTGTTATTATAAATTATTATTCTTATTATTGTTATCATCATCATGTTACCTTAATGAAAGCCTTTAAGATAAAAAAAAGTATTGTTATTTTTCATACACAAAAAACTACTTTTGCCAAAAACAATAATTATACTATAAAGTTAGACAGAATGTACCTTCAGAGTACATTACCACAAATTTTAAGTACTGAAGTATATTTCAAATCATGTGGAACTTGTTAGTTAAAAAATTGAGGGTATCTGAGAGTAATTTTCTATAATAAATACTCTCTTCGTCTCAAAAACAATGTCATACTTCACAATTCAAAAAGCACGATAACTTTTGTTTATTTTCGTATTTTCATTAATTATTTGATAAAATGTAATTGTCGCTTCTTATTTTGTTGAACTTTTAACATGATTTTTAAATACGCAAGTTTAATTTTTAATTGAAGTATTAATTGTATGTACTCCTATTTTAAAAATTAAAATATAAAAGCTCTTGTTTATATGGGAAATTCTATGGCGGACCTTAGGTAAGGCAAATAAGTAAATCCTAGTTACTTTGATAAGCATTTCTTTAATTAAAAATTCAAAAAATAAAAAAAGATTTTTTTATGTGAGAAGCTGCACAAAAATTGTATGCACCCAAGGTGCACTAAAGAAGCGCTCTATTTTTATATATTTTTTACGAAAAAATCTATGATAGACCTAAGGTCCATCATGGATCTACATATGAACAAAATAAACATTTTTATTACTTAAATAAACATCTATTTTTTTAATAAAAAATTTTTAAATTTTTTTATATGAAAAGATTCACAAGAATATTATGCACTCAAGGTACACCATAAATATTATGTTTACTACTTTAATCTTTTTTTGGGTACATTTCTTTTCTTTTTTTTTCAACCATGCTATGACTACACTAAGGGGTTGTTTGGCAACTTCTGAATGGGTAAGTGCTGAACCAGTAAGAGGTCTGAATCATTAAGTGCTGAACCAGTAAGAGATCTGAACCATTAAGAGCTAGTATATTGCTTAACTATTCAGAGGCAAATGTCTGATCAATTCAGATAACAGCTCTTAACCATTCAGACTCTGTATAATACTTAACCATTCAGAGGCAAATCTCTTAACCATTCAGACATCTGAACCATTAAGAGGCTGAAACAAACAGTCTGAACCATTAAGTGCTGAATCATTCAGACATCTGAACCATTAAGAGCTAGTATATTGCTTAACTATTCAGAGGCAAATGTCTGATCAATTCAGATAACAGCTCTTAACCATTCAGACTCTGTATAATACTTAACCATTCAGAGGCAAATCTCTTAACCATTCAGACATCTGAACCATTAAGAGGCTGAAACAAACAGTCTGAACCATTAAGTGCTGAATCATTCAGACATCTGAACCATTAAGAGGCTGAAACAAACAGCCCCTAAGTGTGTACTCTAAATTATACACCAAAAGACATGCACTAGCAAATAAAAGTGCATTGATATTTTGTGCCAGTATGACAATGATAGAAAATGAAAGTGCACATCTTTAGGTGAGTATAAATTTTGAGGCACTATGTAGCTTAATTCCTTTTTTTTCTTTGTATCATCAGATGTGTAGATAGAGTGATTGACAGATATCCTCGGTCAGTAGATTACAACAGTGAGAAATCATGTGGTTTGAGCTCATCATCGGGATCGTTATTTTCCAATTATTGAGGCGCTTCTTCTCCAGCGGCGACGATCTCGACGTCGGGACCTACAACGACAACGCCCTTTTCTCAGTTGCGAAACGGTAAAATTTCTCCTTGTTTTCCGGCACCTCGTCTCGTCCGTTCATTAGTTCTGCCTGAGAATTCATGTCGAGTTTGGTGGTGAATAACTTTTAATTCTAGGCTGGAAAAGATTTATGGCGGTAAGGTCTATGTTGGACTGCGTATTCCAGACATCGATTCCGGGTCTCCCAAGAATATTGATCTGGTTATCGTCACTCACCGGTGATTCTCTGTCTCTCTCCCTTTCATTAGTTACATTTCTTTATCTTTTCAATGTTAAAAGGGCAAATTCACTACCCTGTTGGTAATTTCAACTGAGAGGTGACTGTTAGTACACGTTTGGATCTAAATTAGTAATGTAATGCTTATAAATTATTAATTCGGTTACTGTTTATGTAGGACTTGTTTTATTAATTGATTTTTGGTTCATTCTACTATGTGCTGAAATATTTGCCAAATATATAGAGAAGCTGTAATAATCTCTGTGAAGAATGTCTCTGGATTTGTATCAATCGATAAGGATCAGAATTGGGTTTGCATGGGTGTAGATAAGCACAAGGAAGAGTGCTTTCCAGATCCTGTAAGTTGGAAATTTGTCTTGATAGCAACCTGGTTCTGTTAAATTTAGCATGCTTTGATATCTGAATGATGACATAACAAAATGATGCTTTTTCTGTGTCTTATTGTATTATATCCCGAACTGTCAATTTTAAAAAAAGGCTAGAGGCAACCACTAAGACGTGCGGAAGTTGGGGGCACCCTTTTGATTTAATGCATTTACAAAACTTGTATATAAAAATTTGTAACCAAGCACAATAGTGTCATAAACAACCAAATTGAATAACAAATTTTCCATATGAAACATACGAACAGGCAAAAGTCAAAGCATGAACAAGTTCAAAGTCGGGGCTTCATAATTCTTAATATAATAAAAAGCAAACAAATCAATGGGAAAGATCATGACATAGTTGAAGAAAAGTTCCAATTTTGAGCTTTTGTAGAATGCCTAAAGAAGGATGAATCATTCTCGTGTGCGGCATACAGTTGCCATCTGTGTGGAAAGCACATATGCCAAATGAAACAGCCTCTCTACTTTCAAGTAGGGTCAAGGTCTGCTTACACACACCCATATTTATTTAAGGCGTGATGCGCACCCTCCCTAGACCCTACTTTAGTGGGATCCAACCGGGGTGTTGTTGTTTTTGTACCTTTGGTTCTTTTTTTGTCAACACTTTGGTTTACATTGTGTTTTGAAATTACATTTTCTGATCTGCTCTGTACAATTTTGCATGTACATCTTTTGGAAGCACTTGTCCATGCTTTGAGTTCTTTTGTTTAATTTGGAAGTACATTGTTTGATTGTATAACATCAGATTTCATATCTCAATAAAGTTTGCAAGGAGTTAAGTAGCCCTAATCTCACATTTGCTTGGTGGCTTGTTTTTGTCTCTTATGTAACTATATCAAGCTTCTGCATTTCTAGGTGGCAGAAACAAAACAACTTGTTCCCATCCTGGAATCTTATCTTGAGCAAAGGGGACTTGCTTTACCAGAAGGATATTTGTCTTGCAAGGTCATATGTTCAAACCCCAATTTTCGGTATGATTTTAGATACTATGGTACATTTGGTGACTTAATACTATGCAGTTCATTTGATTTTTTCTATATGGACAAGTGCTTCTTGACTTGTGTTTAAACAATTGAGGACTCATCACCTCTTGTAGGAAAACATTGAACTCTATATCTATTTGCTGCATTGATGGATAAGCGTATTGCATACATTGATACACATTAGTGATAACCTTAGCTTATTGTACTAGGTATTTTCATTTGTATGGATGAGCTATAAATACATTCTTACAGTATTAGGTACCAAATATTAATGTCACCACAGTTCTCTAATCCTGCTGTTTTTGCTAGATATTATTTTCATGGATTCTTTGTTCCATCTCTGCAGAACCATCCATGGTGATTCTTTTCCTCCTGAGGTGTTGACTTATGACCAGTGGAGACAGCTAAAGCCTGAAAAAGATAGTGTGGTTTCTAGTTTTATCAAAGGTGCATTTAAAAAGGAAATGAAGGAACCAATACAAGAGAATCTAAATTCCATTCTCAGCACAGCTCCAATGTGGGATAGGTCAGTAGCTTGTGTAAAAAGCCTGTTTCATTACGTCCTTCATTTACAACCATCAACTGCCTTTAGACACAGTTGCCAGTTTATTTTTAGGACGATAAAGGCATCAACCACGTTGTTAGCAAACTAAAACTCTACCCCCTAACCCCCCCAACCGTCTTATAAAGTCTAGGTCTTATTCATATGAAGGGTTACTCGCTTGCTTTTTAGTAAAAATTATCAAATCCTAATACAGAGTATGATATTTGAATCTTGTTAGCTCAAATGAGCAATTTGATTAAGATAGATATAGGCCAATGGATTTCAAGATTAGTGTATTCCAATGAGCCATCATCTTTTGTGCTAATAAAAGATAATTTCATATCAAATGGTTATAAATATGTCAACCAACATATAATCATTAGTCATCGACAAGTTTTACAAGTATGCACATACAAAAGAACTTTGTCATTGATGTCTTGGGATGATCTGAAATACTATTCTTTATGATTTGAAAGATGTACTTTCCAATGGCCGAAAGATAATGATGCCTTTAGTGGTAAATGCTGAAGATAAAAATAATAATCACATCATAATGTCTTGATTGTCTGTACTTCATAAAACGGAGTCTTTGAACATTAATATGGGAAACATTAATGGTAACAAGCTTTTGATACAAAATTGCACTATGAAGTGGTTCCTCTAGCCCGATTGAGTAGTGGGCTTATTAGTTAGATTATTTTGGGTTTATTTTTTAAATTGTTTTTAATTGATGGCTGCTGCCATAGGTATTCAACTACTACAATAGTTTATGGTGCATTGTTATGAATATTGTTGACCTCCATCTGTTTTTGTGCAGATTGGAGCTTAAAAGTAACAAACGTTTACTAGGAGACTTTGTGGAATTCAAGGGAGATAAGGATGATATTTTTGAATTGAGAAATATCAAGAGATCAAAAGTTAGCCGGGTGACGATTCAAAAGACAAGCATGTTCGGTTTAGGTAAATTGTCATCAACTGTTACTTTGTTTAGGTCACTCTTTTTTTCTGTATTATTGATGATATTACCTTTTGTACTTGGTATTAGGGATGGTGGTAATTAAGTAGAAATTTTGATATGAGATTTTCCTTTTTAAAAGATTAAAATTACAAACCCCCCACCCCAAAAAAAAAGAAAAAGAGAGAAAGTTGAGATCATTTATTTCTGGACAAACTTATGGCATTTCTTTTTGTATAGATTGATATAAATTTTGGGTAGTTAATACTTGTTTCTTGGTGACCTGATGCCCTTTGCAAAAGTATATTGCAAACTCAAGACCTCAAGTATTAGGTGATATACTCCGTCCCTGAACTAAATTCATTGACTTCATAGTTTGAGAAAAAAATGTTTTGAAAAGTAAAAAGTGGGGTTGAAATTTTTTGTAATAGTATATATATGGTTTATACTCCATCCGTTCCAAAATATTTCCCACACTTGCTTTTTCAGCAGTCGCGGCAACTTTTGTTTATTTCTACGTTTTCATTGGTTATTTGATAAAATAAAATATTCTTGACACCTCTTATTTCGAAGAACTTTTCATGTAGTTTTTTGATGTGTAAATTTTATTTTTTATTTCTATACCAATATGTAAATAAAATGAATTGAAAAAACTTGATATTTTGCCTCGGGAATACAAGTGTGACAAATATTTAGGGACGCAGGGAGTATAAGTTATGGGTCATTCTGTAATATTTTAGTCTTTTCTCTATATATACTGTTACAGCCCATCACAATAAAGTGAGATTTTGTTTTCTATCATGGTATCAAAGCTAGGGTTTCAAGAAGACTAGTTTTCTTCTCCTCTTTTTGAACTACACTGGCAATATCTCAAACCGTTCCTATCGCTGAATCCTCACCGCCTAACACCCATGGAAGAGGCTCTTGATGATCACCTTACTCGCTTCAAGCTTCTGCTTTGTCATCTCCAAGTCTTGGTTCCGGAAAAATTAATAGAATAAAAATATCCTTCTTTTTGGCAATCCTCTGACTACCTTAAATGCAAACGTTTTTGCAGGCTACACCCACATAACTCTTCCAAAACCCTTGATGGCCATTCTTAGCAAGGAGCAAGATTTTGGCTCTTTTACCAAACCTACATTTTCTCGTTGGCTTGTGGTTGACACCCAAATTCACGCATGTATTTTGTCTACACTCTCCTCTGTGCAGAAATAGGTTCGTGGTTATACCACGTTTGGTGACCTATGGCGGGCACTCTCTAAATGGTGAAGTGCTCATCTAGATTCTAATGTGTTTCAAATATGTGATAAACTTCATTTTCTTCAAAAAGGGTCTCGCCACTCTCGCGCCATGACTAAATATTTTGATGAAATCACCACTGTCATTCAAGCATTGGATACTGCCATCAAAATTCTACTAAAGTGTGATATTATTATGGTCATGTTACACAGTCTACTGAGTACTGAATGAATATTCTACCTCAAACATGTTCGCATGAACTAAAACAGGCTCTTGTCGATTAACGTTTTCAGGTTGTTGATGAAGATATATTCGGAAATTTTGGTCTTTGTAATCTGACATATTCACATACGATGCTTTCTAACACCGAATCCATATAGGTCTGGTCTTCGTTTTATCTCAATTCGTCCTTTGGTCCGGTTCTAGCCCAAAAAACACTCCTAGGTAGGAGTGGCACTCGTTAAGGATAAGTTAGAGGAAGTTAGGTTTAGATGGTTTGGGCATGTGAGGTGGCACGGTGTTGAGGCTCCACTGATGTGAGCTGCATACAATGGTGTGCGGGATTAGGGGAAGGGGTAGCCTTAGGAATAATTGGAAGGAGGTGATTAGTTCGGACCTAAGACATCTGGTCTTTAGTGAGGATATGACCTTAGATAGAGCGTGTGTAGAGTGGGGACTAGGGTAGTTGGGTATGCTTTCGAGCTTGGTGGTTGTTTTTGCACATGTCGTTCTGTGCTTTTTGCTTGGTGCTTTCTGCTTGTTGCATTTTTCTTCGCACACCTTAGTTTGCTCTTTGCTACTCTTTTCACATGTTCTGTGCTTTTGGTGCTCAACTTGCTCTCTGTGTTACTCAAGTTGGAGTCTCTTGGAAATAACCTCTCTACTTTTGAGTATGGATAGAGTTTGCGTGCACAGCCCAGACCCTACTTTTGTGGGATTTAATTAGGTTGTTGTTGGTATTTAAGTTTGTTGTACTTGTACTGCTCTTTGTGTGTTGCTTCATCAAATAAAGTACGCCCGTGAACTCCTACATCATGTTGTTCCTGAATGCAAACTGGTAGCCACCCCTATATGCGTGAAATCTACCGTTGCTGGTGCCGAAGAGCTATTTTGGAATCCCACTCACTTTGAAGTATCATTGGTGGCTGTTGGTGGCTTACGGTATCTAGCGGTCACTTGTCCAGGTATCCAATATGCTGTCAATTGAGTTGCTCAAACTATGCACCATTCCACTGAGCTAGATTTTCATGTGTTGAAACGCATCCTGCAGTATATACAGGGCACAATCTCTCATGTCTTGTCTTTTAAAAAGGTTGAATTTTCTAGCTACATGTTTACTCGGATTCTGATTGAGCTAAGGGTAATGATGATCATCGCTACACAGCAGGTTTTCTTATTTTCTCCAGTCCACCAAGAAGCAAGTCAAGCAACAATGAGTTCTCGCTCATTGACTGCAGGTCTGCAGTTGAATACAAAGCTTTGTTCATGGAGTTTCCGAAATCATGTCGCTTACCTACCTAATAACTGTTTTTGCAATCTGAGTTGCAAACCTACGACTATTTGTGACAATGAATCAACAATTTGTGTGGCCAAGAACCTTGTCCTACATGATCGTATGAAAGAAATGGGTACTGATTGTCATTTTGTACGTGGTTGGGTTATGGCAATGGAGTCTCTTCCACAGAACAACTAGTCGATATACTCACACAGCCTTAGGCTCAACCATTTTCCTATCTCAGCTCCAAGCTGCCCTCGTACCCACGGCTCAGCTTGCGGGTGGATAATAGCAAATATATAGTATCCACCCCTCATAATAAAGTGAGCTTCAATATTCTATCAGTTTAGAAGAGAGTTGTTAGGGGCCACATATTCCATTCTCAGAAGGGGAAGTGGAGAAGTTTGAATTTTATTTTGGGATGAATAGAAAAGGAAAATGTGATTTTAATTTGGGGACAACTGGAGTAATAGATATCAATGCCTCTGTTTATACTCCGCATATGATTCTTCCTTATGCCATCGTACGAAGCATACTACCTACGGGCCCCTAACAAAACTTGTGTTCCAGAACTTTTTGTCTGCGATAAATAAATAACTAAATAATTCCTGTCCCGAAATGAGGTTCACACTTTCTTTTTTTGGCTGTCCAAAATATGGTTTTCGTTTTTAAATTAGGAAACTTTTAAAATTTAGAAGACAATTTTACCCTTAACCCCCCCACTCCCCTTTGGACGTAGTTCAAGATACTAGTTTGTTGGAGGGGAGGTGAGAAAAGAGGGAAGGAAAGGTGATGACTAAACAGCATTTTTATACTTCAACTTGTGCAAATCGCTGTTAATGTTATTCTTTTTGAGAGTTGCTGTTTTGTTGTGTTCTTATAAAGCTTCATTTTTTTGTTGCAAAATGCAGCTCATTCAAAACTTCAAGTTCTTTACTGGCCTCGAGATTATCAGGGGGAAGGGGCCTCGGGTTTTGAGTGGAATGAAGTCTGTGTTCGATCTAGCACAGAGGTTGTCTTTCAGCCGCGAGGTTCCACTAAGGTACGTAAATACAAGTTGTCCTCTGTGATTTCCATGTCACTGAGTGCATGAAGGTCTTTAGTTACTTGATGCAAATGCGGGGCAAGCTTGACGATTTGTTCGCTTCAGGTCGGGTTCGAGTCATTTCAAGTTCAGGTTGTAAATTTGTATTTATTAGCAGATCATATTATTAGAAGACTGTGTTGTATTTATTATAGATTGATCTGGTTTCCACATTTATAGGACATTTGTTATATCTTCTTCGCATCATCCCTATATTTATAGGGCTGCTGCAAATATACCATACCTTAAACCACTATGATGGTATGGGAGCAGCCCTTTAAGTATACACAAAGGAGATATAACAAACCTCCTACTGAGCATAATTGTGGAAATTAAATAATCTATTATAAGTACAATAAATACAATATAATCATCTCATAATATGATCGGCTAACAGTATTGAGCTCTTTTACTTGTTCATGTGTAAAGTGTTAAGAGTTTCGATCAACCCAGCTGGATGGAATGGTTATTGTTTAAATATCAGAATGTGTATTAGCACTTGGATATCACGTCATGAATCCAATAATAAATCATTAGATGCTCTTCTATGCTTCAAAATCATTTTCCTTGTGAAAATGATATACTTCCGGGCATTTTACAGGTCACTACCATTTTTTTATCCACACAAAAAAAAATGTTTGGTAGAATGGTGTGCAACTTAGTGTGTACATTATATGAAAGTTTTGATTTCATAAGTGGTTGGGTAGAAAAATGATGTATGTCGGGAAAATGACTTCGGAGTATTTGATAAGACATATTATAATAAATGCTACTTTTGTCTCAGAATATTTATTCAGTTTTGAATTTTACAGTTAAAATTGATAAGTTTTGACCATTGGTTAAATAAAATTTATACTCCCTCCGTCCTTAAAAGATTGCTTGACTTTTTTGGTTAATTGTGACTCCTGTTGACTACGGATTAAATATAGTTTAAAATAATAAAATATTATAAAAATTTGATATTTCAAAATTATATTTTAAAATAAATTTAATTTTATTGAATTTATATTATAACTAAATATATTTTTTGCATAATTTATAATAAAAGGATGTTATAGTTTGACAAAAAAGTCAAATTGTGATAATCTTTTAGGGACAAAAGAATATTGGATATTTATACAAGAATAATTTAATTGAAATATCTAGTAAAATACATTTAAAATTTGTTTTATTTAATTAATGTATCATATAATTTTACTAAATTATATTCCTTCCTTCCTAGTCTTGTTCTCCACTTTTTATTTTTGGGTTGTCTCGTTGTTTTTGTCACTTTTAAGTTGTAATTTGACACTTTTGCCAAAAAATTACTCCGGGGTACCCTTGATTTTTTGATAATGACTCTAAAGTCCTACGTTATCTGAAATATACTTCGGGGTACTCTCGATTTTCTAGTAATTACCTTTAGACATTACCCAAGGTGTACATTACCACTAATTTTAAGAACCACGTAATTTTTAATTTTAAGCTTTTAATTCATAAGACATGTTTCTTTGTTATAAGGTAGATGAAATCCGCGTGATTTGATTTTGACCTAAAGAATTCAAATTCTAGATTTCTGATTCTCCTTGTGGTATGAAATTCAAAATATGGAATTGGAAGATTTGGGATTAGAATTCAATTCCAACTCTACATGTTTTTATGCTACCAAACTAGGGCTAAGTTGGGAAAACCGAAAACAAAAAAAAAACCGATCAAAACAAGCTAGAAAAAAAATCGAATTGAAAAACTAAAACCAAATGTAAAAAACCGAACCGAACCGATATTGTTTGGTTTCCGTTTTTTTTTTCACTTCGGAAAACGTCCTTGCTGACAGTTTTGGCCCTGGTTCTGATTTTGGCCCATGTGCGGGTACGATCTCGTTGTAGATCTCTGGCTCTGCGCAGGCCTCTGGGTAGCTGTTTGCGTCTGAACCTCAGTCATGGGAAAGGCCGGTCCTGAATTTGTCAAACATTCCTTACGGAAGTGCCCCGTCTTCCCACAACCTAGGCACAGGACCTGCGTGAACCAGCAATCACCAGGATGGTTCCTTCTACATAAATTGCATACAGGGTGTCTAGAGGACCTTTTTCTATTACTCGCCGACTGCGACTAGGCTGGTGCGGACTTGGTCTTCTTGGAGTTCTGGGTACCCTTAGTACCCCCTAATGGCTTCTTGCTGCTCGGTGCCGTACTGGTCACTGGTCGGTGTCTATGTAACACCCCAACCCGCATGACCCAAACCCGTGAGACAGCGGACCGGTGTGCTACTGAATTGGTATCCAAATTTGCGACATTTTCAAAACAAATTTTAAACAAACGTTCTATCAATACATATAAAAATTCATCGGAGTAATTTAAAATAATGCGGAAGCCTTTTTAAAGTCAAACAACTTGGGATCTTGCCCGAAAACGTAATAAGCATTAAAGTTAATCAAATAAAACATAATCAACAGATTAAAGAGACAGTCACGCCATCGTACATCTCCTCCTCAATGCCCTCTGGGATCGGCTCTAGGTTCATCTGTCTGATCACCTACGGACAGCAAAAGAAAACAACGCTATCCGCTCAGCATTGACGCTGAGTGGTACTCCATTGTAGCACAAGAATAAATATAATAATTCAACAATTAAGATCGTGCATATGTTTATCCTTTTAATAAAAATCAATTCAACTTTACACTTGGTTCTTTAGACGGTTGACCAACAGTCAACTTATTTTCTTTCTTTTCAAAACGATTTAGGTGTTACGGGTTTCCCATTGACTCTTTGACCACCGGTCAAACCAATTTAGACTTTTACCAAAGTCAAACCAATTTAACATTTATTCCCTATGTCGGAGATAGCCTCAATCCGTAATACCGAAGATGG